TGGGAAACAGATACCCTCAGAAGAGAAAGGATTGTTTTTTAGAATCACTCTCAGTCTTTGGGAAGTTGGAGTCCAAGGTTTCATTCTATTAATTTTGTAGCAAACACTCAGTAAGTATATATAACCTCCATTACAAGTGAATATATTTAAGTTACAAAGTAAATCAATTTTTAATGGAAACTTTTTATTGAAGTATAACCAAAAAAATGCACAAATTATAGATCACTGAATTTTTATAAGATAAATATATCCTTGTACCCTGCATCCTGTTCAGGAAAGAAAACATTACCAGAAACTCTTTCATGCCCCCTTCAAGATAATAATCCACATGCTTTTGATATCATAGATTAGTTTTGCATGTATTTGAATTTCATTTAAATGGAGTCATACAGTATGTGCTGTGCTGTGTCTGGCTTCTTTTACTCAGCATTGTTTTTATGAATCCATTCTTGTTGTTGTATATAGTTGTAGTTCATTCATTTTCTTTGCTGTATAGAATTCTATTTTGTAACTTTTCCCCATTATATTTATTTACCATTCTACTGTTGGTGAACATTTGGGTTGTTCTCAGTTTTTGTGTATTATAAATAGTGCTGCTATGAACATTACTTTATATGTCTTTTGGTGAACATACTTATACTTATGTAGGGAATATCATTAAAAATAGAATTGCTGAGTCAAGAGATGCGTGTCTTGATCTTTAGTATTGCTGGACACTTCAGAGTGATGGTACCATTTACACTCCCAGCAACAGTACAGGAGAACTTTCATTACTGCTCATTGCCACACTTAGAATTTGATTTTTCACTGTAATCATTCTGGTGGGTGTGTTACAGTACTTTGGATTTCAGTTTGCATTTTTCATGACTAACATTGGCAATTTGGGAAAAAGTAATTCCATTTCAGTGAATATTAAGTAGATAATACAGGTGGTAAAAGTTGGTGGGTGGTGAAGACAGTTAAGTGCTTGACTACTAACCAAAAATTGGCGGTGTGAATCCACTCAGGGGCACCTAGGATGAAACACTTGGCTATCTACTTCCAAAAGTCACGGCTATTGTAAACCATATGGAGCACAGTTCTGTTCTGAAACCCATGGGGTTATGAAAAATCAGAACCAACTCAACAGCAACTGTTTTTGTTTTTGTTTTATTTAATATAGGCACTATACGGATATAGCTCAAAACTTATGCTGTTGTTAGGTGCAGCCGAGTCAGCTACAAGTCATAGCGACCCTATGTTCAACAGAATGAAACACTGCCAGGTCCTATGCCAGCCTCACAGTCCTTGCTATGCCTGAGTGCATCATTGTAGCCACTGTGTCGATCCATTTCCATGAGAGCCTTCTGCTTTTTCATTGACCCTCCACTTTACAAGCATGATATCCTTCTCCAGGGAATGGTCCCTTCTGATAATGTGGCCAATGTAGGTGAGATGAAGTCTGGCCATTCTCGCTTCCAAAGAGCATGCCAGCTGCACTTCTTCCAGGACAGATTTGTTCAGTCCGTGGTATTTTGACAGACTTTGCCAATGTCACAACTCAAAGTCATCTCTTCTTCAGTCTTCCTTATTCACTATCCAGCTTTCATGTGCATATGAGGCTATTGAAAATACCATGGCTTGGATTAGGAACACCTTAGTCTTCAAAGAGACATCTTTGCACTTCAGATAAGGAGGTATTTTGCAGCAGATTTTCCCAGTGCAGTATGTCATCTGATTTCTTGACTGCTTCTTCCACCAAAAGGGAGTATCTGATGGCATAGTGCCTAAGGCATCTGACCATTAAACAGAAGGCTGGTGGTTTAAAACCACCAGCCACTCCTTGGAAGGAAGACTGGGTATATACTTCTGTAGTAAGACCACCTCAGAAACCCAAGGAGGAGTCGCTATGAGTTGGATCCGACTCTCCAACAGTGAGTTTGGTTCAGTTCAGTTCCTTCCATTGGTGTTGATTGTGAAGTCTTACAGGGGATAATTAACGAACATTTAGTAAACACTATTTTCATTAATGAATCTTTTACTAATTGATATGCTCTATTTCCTTTACAAACATTTACTCTGGTAAATTGAATTCAATAAAATTCATTGAGGGTTAATTATCAATGACCCTCTCTGCTGGATGGTGTGAGGCTACCAAGGTCCATGTCATGGAAAGCTTCCCAAAGGAGGTTAGATTTAAACTGAGTCAATGGTTAAGCATTCCACCACTAACTCAAGGGTTATGTTTGTTTCAAAATGTAATTTGAAAAGTACTTGAAAGATTTACCTTAAAAACACTGTAGAGAAAGCCTGTAGTTTCTTAATAGACTTTGTTCTACTTCACAGCCAAATATAATTCAGTTGTTGAAAAAAATATGATGGAGATAACCGTAGTATATTTGTGTCTTCTTGGATCTGGAGCAAGTGTATCTCTTGAGTCCGTTGTTACAGCATGTGGTATTCTTTGCCTGTAGGTTGAAGAAGAAGTCTCAGTCAGTGGATATTACTGCACCAGGGTTCAGCCCTTTGTCTGGGGCTGGAAAGCAAACTCCACAAGCCAGTAAGCCCCCTGCACCCAAGACCCCCATCATTGAAGAAGAGCAGAACAACACAGCAAATGCCCAGAAGCATCCTTCCCGAAGGAGTGAACTGAAGAGGTTCTACACCATTGGTGAGCAACAGGTGTTTTATGCAATTGAAGAGATGAAGTAAATGGCATTGTGAATTTGTGGATCTGCAGTTAAATGATCCTCCATTTATATAACATATATGTGTTTATTTTAATGTGATTCAGGTGAAAGTTTACAGAGTAAATTTGTTTTCCATTCAGCAGTTTGTACACATTTTGTTTCATGACATTGATTGCAGTGCCCATAATGTAACACCTCTCTTCCCACTTCCTCCCTTGGTTACCTTTTTCCTGTGTCTTTCTTTCCTATGCATTCCTGCCCTCTGAGGTGTCTCCCTGTACAAATGCTGGCCTTCTGATCTATCATGTTTGATTGTTCTGAGGAGTGCAGCAACCTAGGTTAATTGTTCACCTTATAGGTTTGTCTATTGTTTGGCTGGAAGCCAAGGCAGTGAGTTGAATTCCAGGCCTGAAGAGTTCTGTCAGAAAATAAAATGTGCCTACAAACTCCATATTCATTAAAAATGAGAGAGTTGTAGATAAATATGGACCTGCTTAGTCACAGGAAATAAAGAGAAAATAGAAATCTGAATATTGAGTTGAAACGAAAAATGAACAGGTTAGTTCAAACAGCTTGGCCTCAGCTGCATTTTTAAGTTTTGAATGTGCAACAATTTAATTAAAAACTAATGTCAGTGCATCACTGTTATGCTAAAAGAAACATCTGAATTGTCAAATTTACTCTATTTATGTAATCCTTTTACTAATTTGGACCTGGAAATTTAATTTTCAAGGCTGAAGTATTGGCAGTTATGTAATTACCTATACTGAAATATCATTTTGCAAAACAAGTCAGCTTTATTGTCTTTTTGTAATAAAATACCCACTGCTGTTGAGTCAATTCCCACTCATAGCAACTCTTTGTTGTTGTTGTTGTTATGTGCTGTCAAGTCAGACCCGACTCATAGTGACCCCTCCTTGGGTTTCTGAGGTGGTATCACAACAGAAGTAGATAGCCCAACCTTCCTTCCGAGAACTGGCTGGTGGGTTTGAACCGCCAGCCTTCTGCCCCATAGGGTTTCCAAGACTATAAATCTTTATGGAAGCAGACTGCCTTATATTTCTCTTGCCACCAGTCTTTTGTCTAGCAGCCACATATTTTAACCAGTATGCCACCAGAGCTCAACAACAACAATAATTGCCATTTATTGGTAATTTCATATATAAGACACAGATTAAGCTTCTATTTTCTATTCTCTCAATTCATCCTCATAACAACTTTTAGAAGTGATATGTTCCCTGTTTTTATAGATTTTGTACATTTTTATACATGAGGAATAGTGGCTTATAGAAGTTCAAGGAGGATCCATGAGTCATAGGTAGAAAACTCAGCAAATGAGAGTAACTTTATCTTGTGATACTGTAGTATCAGCCTTCTGAGTCCTTCAAAGGGTGCTGTCTGTCCCCTCTGCACAGGGCTAAACTGGAGGAGTTGCTATGGACAATATAATGCAGTAAAATTGTTACTGAAATTCCCAGAGAATCTCACTGGAAGAAACCACACCAATTAATCCACCCACCAGCCAGTTTGCCGTTGGAATAGTTTTCAATATCTCAATTTATGGTTCACACAAAATGGGAAAACCTAGGAGCCCTCTTGTGGCCAAGTAAAATACTACATGTAACTGTAGCAATGAAGTTCACTTACAAAAACGAATTATGGTACCAAATTTAAATTCAAGCAATGATTCTGGGGCTTAAAGAATTTTCAAATAAATCATTAGAAAATAATGGCAGTTGAAAGTGGCTATGTAGCTCCCAAGACATTTCTTTGTGATCACACAGCTGTTTATCTGTATGAATCTATATATAGGATCTATTTCCTGTTGAAAGAACTCTAGAAAGAGAATTTATAGCCTCCTTGTATAGACAGTTAATTCATATCCTTAACTAATTCTAGTGATAAAAACATATTTAACTGAATATAGAAGGAAAAAAAAAAACTGATTTTTTATTAAATAACAACCAGCACTGGAGGCACTTACCCATCTATGCCAAGTAATTTGAAAAACAGCTACCCGGCCAACTGACTGGAAGAAATACATATTTGTGCCCATTCCAAAGAAAGGTGATCCAACAGAATGTGGAAATTATCAAACAATATTGTTACTACCATAGACAAGTAAAATTTTGCTGAAGATAATTTAAAAAAATGCTTGTAGCATTATATTGACTGGGGACTTCCAGAAATGCAC